GTTCCATACTTCTTTAATTCTTTAGGGTGGTCAATGGTAATTCTTGATCCTAGAAATATCTGCAGGAAAAGAGCAGTGATGGCTCTGAAGATGATGATGACGACCAAGATGATGAGGATAGTGATGGTGACGAGGATGACAATTGAACCTTATAGGATGTTTTTCATAGTTTATTTAGTTAGCTTCTAAAGGGTTCAGAGGTTAAGAGAAAGTAACAATGTTGATGGTGGCTTCAGGGCCTGATCACTCTGGTTTCTTGATAGATCCTTCAGGAGAATGTTAGCTTCTTATATAGGTTTTGTTTACACAACTATTATTCCCTGTTGCATTTATAGATGATGCTATGGCCTGAGTGTTTATTATGTTATTTAGAGCAATTGGGAATGTATTCACTGGTCGACGTGCTAAAAATGTTGGAAAATTTGCTGAGAGTGGCTGATAGATAAATTTATCGTTTGCTATAACTTTTACCCTACATCTTCGTGCAACACGGAGAAAACCTCCATCTGCACAGAGAAAACCTCCGTGCAGTGTCTCCACACGGAGACACGGCCATGTGTCTGTGTCTCCATAGAGGTTTTCTCCATGCAGTGTCTCCATACGGAGACATGCCCGTGTCAGAGACTTGAACTCCGTGTCTCCATCTCCGTGCGCCACCGCCACATAGAGGTGCTCCATGGCGAACCATTTATTTATTTATTTTCAAAGTCAACAATTGTTGGCTTGCAATTTTTTTTTTTTTTTGTGTCTCATATGGAACATTGATATGCGAGGAGAAATCACAAATGAATAGTAATCCTCAAAGCCCTTTTTTAAGGGAGGGTAGATTAGAAAATAACTCTATTTACAACTAACATTAGAGCTAATTCAAAGCTGGCCCCCTATTCCCATCACATAAACAGTCCTCAATGGACAATATTTGGCTTTCTAGTATAGTATGTTACTGTCAACACTTATTGGCCTTAAATGAAAATGGGACCAAAGTGCTTTACCTAGGCTAGTCACTGATAATGCTTTTGCTACATGGAACCCCAATGTTTTTTTTCTTATATATTTTTTGAACTCCAGGATAAGCTTATCAGTTAATAGCAGAGTGTAAATATTAGATAATTTCCTCTTACATTAGCTATGTGCTCTTAATTACACAATTATCTTGAAATCTTGAGGTTCATAGTCGGTTGAGTGAATGTTTAAAATATTTATGTGTAGAAATAATGGAAGAAATAACTTTATTCACTCTATTCAATCTTACAAATCTATGCCACTATATATAGTACAATACAATGAGGAAGAAAATGAAAATAATATGCTAATCTAGGAAAGTAAAGATATTTCCCTAATTTTCTAATAATACTAATATTACAAGTCATCCCATAATCAATACGGGATTTCTACTCTCCCCCTCAAGTTGGATCGCAGATATTGATCATATCTAACTTGCAGATGGAATCATCGAATATTTGCCTTTGTAGTCCTTTAGTGAATACATCAGCAGTATGTTCTTTGTTAGAGACGTAGATCATGCAGATAGTTCCATTTTCAACTTTCTCCTTGATGAAGTGGATGTCCACTTCTACATGTTCGGTTCTATCATGTTGAATTGGGTTGAGTGAGATGTTGATAGCTGTTTTGTTATCACAATAGAGTTTAATTGGAACTTTCATTGAAATTTGTAGCTCATCCAAGAGTTTTTTCAGCCATAGATCTTCACATATTCTTTGAGTAGATTCTCTAAACTCTACTTCCGCACTGTTTCTCTACATTCTGTTTTTTACTCCAAGTAACTAAATTTCTCCATACAAAAGTACAATAGCCAGTGGTAGATCTCCTATCTTCTATTGATTCTGTCCAATCAGCATCAGTGAATATTTCTATTTCTCTTTTTTCATTTTTTTTAACAGTAGTCCTTTCCCAGGAGAGCTTTTGAGGTATCTCAGAATCCTGTATGCTGCTTCTAGATGAGTTTCCCTTGGAGCATGCATATGTTGGCTTACCACACTTACTGCAAATGCAATGTCGGGACTAGTGTGGGATAGGTAGACCAGTTTTCCAACTAGTTGTTGATATCTGTCTTTTTCAATGAAATCTCCGATGTTTTCTGTTTTTCTTCTAGTATCCATAGGAGTGTCACTTGTTTTACACCCAAGCATACCAGCTTCAGTTAGAAGGTCTAGAATATATTTTCGTTGTGAAACACAGATCTCCTTCTTCGATCTGACTCTTCCATTATTAGAAAATATCGCATTTGTCCCAAATCTTTTACTTCAAACTCTATGGCTAATCCTCTTTTTAGTCTTTCTATCTCGACTGTATTATCTCCAGTGAGAATAATGTCGTCAACATATACGATCAGAATAGTCTTCGTCCCATCCTCAAATAATCTGAAAAACATAGTGTGATCCGATTTCTCTTGTTGGTATCCCCGTTTTTTCAACACATTTGCAAATCTGTCAAACCATACCCTAGGTGACTGTTTGAGGCCGTATAGGGACTTTTTTCAGTTTGCATACTTTATTTCCTTCATTTTGCTTAGAAAAACTAGGTGGTAGCATCGTGTAGACTTCTTCTTCCAACTCCACATTCAGAAATGCATTCTTAATATCAAGTTGTTGGAGTGGCCAATCCAAATTTGCTGCCAGTGATAGAAGAACTCGAATTGTATTCAATTTTGCAACCGGTGCGAATGTTTCTGTGTAATCTATGCCACATGTTTGAGTGTACCCCTTTGCAACTAGGCGAGCTTTGTATCGCTCTATTGTACCGTCTACTTTATATTTTACATTAAACACCCATTTGTACCCAACTGATTTCTTTCCTCTTGATAGTTCCACCACTTCCCAAGTTTCATTTGTCTCCAAGGCTTTCATTTCATCCATTATTGTTTTTCTCCACTCAGGAATTTCCAAGGCTTGTTGAATGTTTTTTGGAATTTCTGTGCTATTAAGGTTAGAAATGAAAGTTCGAAATCCTGAAGATAAAGCATTATAGGTAACAAATTTTAAGATAGGGTGAAGAGTACATGACCGAGATTGTTTCCTGAGAGCAACAGGTAGATCAGTGTCAGATGATTTTGGATAACTTTCATAGAGATTTGGAGCTATCATCGGTTCCGACTCTCTTGGTACTTCGAGTGTGAGTTTTTCTTTATGCTTTGATTTTGACTTTCGTGAGTAAACAATAATCTCTGTCACGTTGTTCTTTTTGCTCGTCCTCCGAGTTTAAGTTCTCTTCTGTTTCATCTAAAACATCTATACCATAATGATTTGATATTGTTCTGATCAGCAGCCAATGCTACTCGTGAAAACTCAGTACAGGTGATTTTCTGCAAGGTCGTTTCCCAGTTTTGGTGTAGCTTCATCACGTTCCCACTGTACGTTGTTATTACTCAGGTGAATAGAGAGCTGGATCTCTTGTTGACCCCTTCTCCTTCCATAGTTTTTCTCTACATTTGCACAATGTATGGCCCTTTTTTGCTGCAGATGGGTTCTAAATTTAAGAAAACAATAATATTTGAAAACGTTAGAAGATCTTCGTGGATGGCGAAGGAAAGTGAAGAATAGACAAGCAGGTCCACCTTTCACTCTATTAACTTCAACGTCAACCTCGTCATTGGCTTCTGCTGACGAGGAACAAAAGATTCATGAAACTGTCAGCGCAGAAGAATCCTCTGAGGAACATGGCCAAAACATAGTGTCAGGTCACACTGTCTCGACTGAACATTGTCGTACTGGTGAAATTTCTCCAAGCAATGAGAAGCTCCAGGTTTCTTTTTCCTCCTTTACTGGATCATCCAACAATGTAAAAGATGGTTCTTTTCTTGTGCCAAGGGACCATCAACTATAGCTAGGCTTCTAGTTCTAGCTTTGCCATTCACCTGAACATTAACTTAGTTCTATTATCATTTACTACTTTCAAGCTTTTGTCATTTGTATATATGCTTAAAGCCAGCTTTCCATCATGGATTAAAGTTTAATTCATTCTAGCGAGAGCAATTAGTAACACGAAATTGAAAGTAAGTTAAAAAGGAACAATTTAGAATGGTTCATTCTCGATGCAAGAGTTATGATCACTATGTTTCCTCTACTAATACTACATTAACTGGACTCCTACCCGTTCTCTTTGTTACTAGAATGAAACTCACTCTAATACCTTATGAGAGGAAATATTAGGGCGATTTAATAAATATGCAAACTTTCCAAAGTACTCTTTTAACACTTAAAAATAGTTAAAAAGAGTGTATAGTATAATTAGTTAGGCTCAACACATCCTCGCCCTTTTGATGGCGCAATTAGATCGTAAAGAAATTATGTCAAAGTAACTACATGTAATGGACGTCATGTCTATTAGTTTAGTTGAAATCGTGTTTGGTAGAATTTAAATTATAATTTAAGTTGATCAATATATTTTTCTTATCTACACATTATATAAATTCAAATTTATTGTTCACTTTTTATTCACATGTCTTCGAGGATTTGCTTTTTAATTTTATTTAAGTACTCCCAAGCTTTAAAATGATGAAAGAAAGCATTAGGAAATTGCGCATTTATTAGGATACTTTGGATATAACATTGCATGACATTTAGTAATGGAGGATACGAAACAAGATTTTAGCTTCTTTCTATTCTTTAATATTGTTCCAATTCTTTGTACTGAAAATGCCCATTGTTTGACACCAATTTTCTTTTTATTCTCTTTTTCATTTTTTTCTCTTTTTTCATTTCAACTACACATTCTATCAATAAAATAATATTACACATAAACCCAAAAATTCTCATTACTTTTTAACCATACATTCTTCCATCAATCACTATTCTAAAATTTATTTTTTTTCCAAAATGGGTGTCAAATAGGGGCTAAGTAATAATAATAGATAAATATCTAACATGACTTCCTTTTTTCACTCTTACCCTTTAAAAATATATCGAACTTCTTAAATTTATGGGACTTTATCATCTAAGATGTGGAAAAGAGATTAGGATAGTCTGAAATAATAAAATTTCAATTGAACCGAATTGCTTATACTCCTGTCAACGAGTAAAAATTGCCTAACTGATTATAATTGAGGATAAGAATGACAAGAAAAATATGTTAAAGGATATAAGTGCTATAATTAATAAAAATTGAGAACTTTAAGTGCAATTAAAAT